GGGGGGAGAGGACGACCAGTCGTGTCCTCCTCGAATCGGTCGACTTAAGGAGATCAACGAGCCGAATATTAATCATCGAGAGGCGCGGCACCTGCATCCTTGGCGCGTCGAGGCACGTAACACGATAAACCGCCGTGCAGCCTTACCGTTATCCGGAAGGCGTTTGTGCATTAGCCATCCGGTTACGTTCCTCCGCTTCCTCCTTCGTTTGGGGGTCCCAAACCGCCACGTTTCAGTCTCGTCACGTTGGGAACGAACACGTTCGCCGAACTTCGTCAACGAATATTACGATCTTCTCGAAGGAACGTTCGTAATATTCGTTTCGAATATAAATCGACAAAAACGCGAATTCAAAGAGTTTTTGAATTTTCATTTCGCTTTGATTCGCGGATATTTTTCGTTTCTAATCTCATCGAAGTGTGTACATATATATATATATATATATATATATATATATATATATATATATCAAGTTTCAAAGTATATTTCGGGAAGAAAATTAAAATTGAGATCGATAATGTCGGTACGACTTTCGTCCTCGTTTTCCTGGAATCGCGCCAAGGTCGATCAACCATCTCTCGACGCGGTTTCCTCGCTCCTCGTCAAGTCTGTGCTTTCGATCAGCGGACGTACGTGCGCGTAAACACCGACCCTGCCAATGGTATTTATTCGAGAAACTGGATTAAACCGAGCGAGAAAGTTCCGCTGTTGTCGAAAGCGTTCGGCATTAATATGCGTCCGATCCGTCTTCGTTGTCCCCTTGAGGAAATACTTTGAATTAGAATAACTCCTTTCTTTTTTTTTTTAGAACAGCGTGAAATTTTTGGAAATTGAATTAGCAAGATCTTCCTTATCGTGTGTATAATTCTTATCGGATGCGATAAACCGTTTTTTGAAATTTTTTATAATTTTTTTTGTTTTTGTTTTGACAGATAAGGTGGAAAAAGAAGGAAAAAATTGGTTGGTAAAAGTGTAAGAAGTATCTCGCCGATCGATTCCTTTCAAAATATCAAATCTCACCGCAAAGAGGTAAAAGAAAAACTGATGAAATATAATTGCAAAATCGTCGGGAGGACTTTCTTGCGGAGAAAACGCAACGCGGTGACAGAGAATGATGTAAGGGAATAAATGTCAATCACGGTTCGATCCGACTGGGCGAATAAAATCTCGCGAGAGAAGAGGTCTTTTCGAGTTTGGCAAAAAAGTGTCTAATCTAATCGATACCGGTTCGAACCTGATAATCCGCTTTCTATAACATGGTCTAAAAATATTCGAATCTTTACACGTCTGTGAAAATATAAATAACGCAATTTTTCGAAAATAAATCTTTCGATTTATCGAAATTGATTGTAAAATCTGCACTCTGTTTTTTCGAGACTCGTAATTCGAGACGTTTTGAAGGACACCGAATGGTTAATTTGAAAGTATCTCGTCCAAATTATCTTAATAATCGATCCTTAAGTTTTATCGATAAAGCAACGACCAATTGAATAACCACTTCGGATTAACTATAATATCGGAATGTCGAAGACCAGGGTGGTAGATACGAGAGTCTGGGTGAGTCACGTTGCTCGTGCACGACCTTCGCCCCCTTCCAGCCTTCCCCGTTATTTTATACCCACCATTATTATTATTATAATCACGTTACGATCGGTCGGTATTCCGCATACGCGTATGATCGCACCAGTACGCCGATTGTGTACGAAAACGGTACGCACCTGTCCACCAGTTCGACGAATTTCGATGATTGGACGAGATAATAACAAGATATCACGGAAAAGCTTACGGAAAAGTAATTTTAGAAACGAGAGAATTATTTCAATATATTGAAATGTTACAACGCGAATCTCGACAATTATCGGCGATCGGTATATAAATATCCTTTCATCCGCGAGAAAGAAACCAGTCAACGAAAATATCCAAAAACGTTCTAAAATCTTTTATCTAAGCAACAAAAACGAATCTAGTTTCTTTATTCGATAATCGAACAGAAAGAAACGAGCAAAATCGAGAATGCGAGGATCAGGTTGAAAGTCGAAACTGGTCCTTGTTGAATCGAATCGAGATTCGAAGAATAAAAGAACAAGAGATAGAAAGAGAAAAGAGGAAACAGTATTTTAACGAAGGAATTAAAACGAGGAGTGGAATAAAAAAAAAAAGAAAAAAGGGAATCATTTTAACATTTGAGACAGTGCTTGTTCGATGGAGGTGGGTGCGGGTAAGAGAAGTGGGGAAGAAAGAACGTGGCAGACGTTTATTACCGGGCCACTGTTAGGTCTTCGGATGGCATTTTCAGCGAGAAGAATAAAGAGAGAAAGGAATGGGAGATCTGCGAGACGACGAGAGAGGGAGAAAGAAAGAAAGAGAAACGTAGAGAGCGAGGTATATATCACAGAGGTGTATATACACTCTTCTCGAAGCGACGAAGGAGAAGAGAAGGAGGGTTCTCTATAAGGAGGTGGAAGAGGAACAACACGTGACCAATCACTTATATAAAGGTGGAGAACGACAGGGCGCAAACACAGAGTTCTCTCTCTGCTCTCGGTGGACACTGTGCGCTCGCAAAAGTGATAACAATTTTTTTCTCCTTTCTCCTCCCCCCTCACCCTTCCTTCGACAAATCATTGACGAATTTTTACGCGTCACGAGGAAAGGATCGTAAAAAGAAAATACCAGATCGACATACCACGCGGGACGTACAACACACACGCACGTAACAACAATGAGGACGTACTACGTGATAGCCGCCATTCTGATCGCCGGTACGTACCCATCACGAAATAAACAATCACAAGGAAACAAGAGGGTGGAAAGAATAGAGAGAATAAAAGGGGAAAGGAAGTAATTATCGAGCGTATTTATCACGTGGAGGAAGAAAGTTGGGAGAGGAAAGTGTTGCTCGAGAACGATCGTTACGATCGGAAGTGGAGGAAACAAGTGCGTGACATATGCGTGTGGAAAGAGAGTGCCCTCCTCCTTTGTCGCCGATTCTCGCCGATGGAATTATTCGTTTAACGTAGTCTTCGCTTTTCTATAATCCTTCCAACGTTGTACGCGGTTTCTCTCGATATAATCCAGATTTCGATTCGATTCGATTCGAATCGAGAAATGTATATTGTACGTGTGTTTCGTATCGGAATAGTATCGATACCTTGAAAAGTGACTTGTTCCAACTCTCGTACGACTAGAGTGCTATATTCGCGATATACGTATCGTAATATCCGCGGCATTCGAAGGAAAGCAGGTCAACTTACGATGCGTTCAATGATCGGGAAAAGAGCTATTTATATTTGTAATCTCATAAGCAACGAAATATTTAAACTTCTCCATTCGATTCCCTTCTATCCATCTTCTCGAGCCTCGCGTGAATTCGAGCAATTCCTCGCGTACAAATCGGTATGAAAAACACGCGTGATTGAAAATGGTTGATTTATCAAAAAACTAACAATCGGCTTTCTCGAAACGACTATAGTATATTATGTTTCCTCCATTCCTTTTTCCCTCCTCTTCCCTCGCTGAAACAGGATAACCTTGGCCCAGATCTTGACCCTTCCTTTTTCATTTACCGACCAATCCACATCCAAAATCCTCTTTCTCTCTCTCTCTCTCTCTCTCTCTCTCTCTCTCTCTCTCTCTCTTTCTATCTAAAAATCCACGATCGTGATTACGATTAAATTAGATAATAATCGAATAATCGAAATTCGGAAACAAGCTCGTCAGATCAGAGACGCGATTTTTGATCGGTCTCTCGAAAAAAATGAAAATGAACACGAAACGCGCACAAACGTCGGCGAGAAGCTCGTAGGCGCGAAATTACAGAGAGAATGAAAGGTGTGTGTGCGTGTATGAAAATGAAAAGAGAGAGAGAGAGAGAGAGAGAGAGAGAGAGAGAGAGAGAGAGAGAGAGAGAGAGAGAGAGAGAGAGGAGAGTGGAGTGAACGGGATGCTGGGAGGGCCCAGTCACGAGGTGGTGGTGTTGCGGCTGCTGACGGTGGGTCTGGCTCTAGGCCCAAAGTGAAAGCGCCTGGCGAAAGTCACTTCGTGTCCTTACATAACACGTTTAGGTTATTCAGACGTCATATATCGCGAGAAAAGAATAACGGATTATTAGGCATGTGCAATCATAGCTGGGGAAAAAACTGGCACTCAGTCGGTGTCGATAGTGCAACGTTGTCTTTGTCCCTCTGAATATTCCGTATCTGTTCTTTCGCGAAGAACGAGAATAAAGGAAGAATTGAGGCGGGAGAGGGAGAAGATGCAACGCAATGGTGGGGAGGGCGTTGCGGTCGACGATCGATCTTATCGTTTAATCTTCTCCCGAGAGCGAAAATAACGGTAAAATTGAATTACGTTGATCTGCCACAGGATCTAAACCGCGAAACGCACTTTTTCTCCGTTGATTTCGTTTCATTTGTCTTGGAAACAATGATTGGGCGAGTTCTGTTCACGGACACGTATAATTTAGGATTATTTCGATGGAAAGTTTGTAATTTGGTAACGCGATTCTTCTTTCGAAGAATTACCGACACGAAAGAATTTCCTTAGTTTCACCATTTAAAAACGGCATTCCTTCGAGTTACTTTCGATACGAACCAGATTACCTTCCTTCGTTCGTGGTCGTATTTTTATATAACAAAGTATTCTCTTTTGTTTACCTTTTTTTTTTCCACAGGCGCAACCGCCCAAGAATCGTTCAAATGCCCGGACGACTTCGGTTTCTATCCCCATCACATATCCTGCGACAAATATTGGAAATGCGACAACAATGTGGCGGAGTTGAAGACTTGCGGCAATGGGCTCGCATTCGACGCAAGCGATAGCAAGTTCCTCACCGAGAATTGCGATTATCTGCACAACGTGGATTGCGGGGACAGGACGCAGCTCGAGCCGGCGATCAGCACGCCACATTGTCCGCGTCTATACGGTATCTTCCCGGATGAAAAAAAATGCGACGTGTTCTGGAATTGCTGGAACGGAGAGGCATCCAAGTATCAGTGCAGTCCTGGACTCGCTTATGACCGTGAGGCGAGAGTCTGTATGTGGGCCGACCAAGTACCTGAATGCAAAAACGAGGGTATGTATTGTATTTTTTATTGTATTTTACATTGTGAAATGCAATTTTATTTATTCGAACGTGGGATGGAAACGAGATGTAAATGTTAGTCTCTTCTTTTTTTTTTAAAAATCCGAAAAAAATCCTTTTTTTTTTTTTTTATTAAAATATCGAAGAAATTCAAATTGATTCGGATAAAAAGAAAGGCGCACATTCTTGACTATGACACGATTTTAGAAAGTTATTAATCTTTTCTTGTCTGTTTATTTATTAACACAGAATCGGTAATTTTATTACTTTATTCAATGGCCAGGTAAGTTTCATAATATATAAATAAATTTTATCGATAATTATATTTGATAACAACTCGACAATTTTCGCATCTTTCATCACAAACATTAATTATGACTTTCGTGAAATTTTATAGCATCCGACGAATATAATTAAAAGGAATAATTAACCATATCTCTACATTTTTTTTTCCATTCCTTTCATATTCTGTAAAATTAACGCAATAAAAACGTATCTCTTCGAAGATGGAGATAACACCATTTAATATATCAAAGAACATCATACAACGCACGAAAAATCTATTAAGCCTCTCCTTGAATATCATTCATTCACCGCGTGGCTTCGACCAACGATACGTGACGATCCGTTCCCACGCACATCCTGCATGCGTTTCCTCGATTCGAACATTGTAACTTCGTCTCAACTTTCTCGTCTCACTGATCGCGAACTATTACGCATCTCATCACATATTTATCGCCATTGTGCAGAAGTCGCAGGAGGTTTCACGTGTCCAGCCGCCGGCGAAGTGAGCGGGGCATCCGGCAGCTTCAGCAGACACGCCCATCCCGACGACTGCAGAAAGTATTACATATGTCTGGAAGGTATCGCGAGAGAGTACGGGTGCCCTATCGGCACTGTGTTCAAAATCGGTGATGCCGATGGCAGCGGTGCCTGCGAAGATCCTGAGGACGTTCCTGGATGGTGAGTCTCTATCTTTCTTTTTTATCTGAGTTGAAAGAAAATTTTCTGAGTGTGATGTTTTATATTCGTGATATTTCTAATTCGAAGACTACTAGTATTTTTTGATTATTCGCTGTAAAAAAAAAAAAATATTCTAAAAGATCTCATTTCAAAGAGAGAGTAGAATTTGAGTAGATTGAGGAAGCTTTGCGACTGTGTATTACGTAAAAGATAAATTCTGGACAAACCGGAATATCCTCGATTATGGTGTAGTAGTAATAATTTTCGTAAGATCTGAAAGTTCGAAAGATATTTTTCGAGTGATGTAATTAAACGGATATTAACGGATTGGTGTATACTTTGCTCTCATAATGCGTAGAAATAGGTTTTATGTAACAGCCACCCAAATGTTGGTAACATAATATTTACATAATGTTTCTTGAGGACAGAAATAACGTGAAAGTCAATAAAATAATTTCTCTATGTTAATTAATTTTGTTTGTGCTATTTTCTTTTTCTCTTCACTCATTCCAATCGCATCATTTTCTTTCAAGCAATGGTATAACAAGTAATCATATCGTTAATTAACAACAAAATTATCTAACATATGTAATTAATTAATATTCACAGTTTAAAAATATTATTTTACGGAGGATTATCCAACTAAATGTTATCACTGAATGTTACGAATACTCAAATTCCACTAAAAAAGAAACAAAAAATTAACCTCTTCAAAAATGCTATGAGGCATCAAACGCATCGTCTCAAATCATGCAATATCGTCTCAAATCATGATTGTTATTTTGTTTTCATTATTAAAAAATTCCATGTGAGTGGAGAACTCTTCGATGAATTTTAATTTACTAACCTTTTCCTTAATGTTTCGAAGAGGTTAACTTTCACACTCGTGCATAAATTTCGAGACAAACTATATATTGCAACGTGTTCCCAAAGCACCGATACACTAAAACGAATCCGTAATCACTTCTTCTCATGTAAACGTGATTAATAGAAAAAAAAAAAAGAGAGAAAAAAAAGAAAAAAAACACAAGGCTGCACGCGAAAACAGGTGGCACATCACGCATGATCCTAACCTCCGGATTTTTCCCGGTGTTCTGGTTCACAGTGAGGATTACTATGGTGACCTGGATCTAAAGAGCATCAGGAAGAGCGAGCTGCTTGCCGGAATTCAGAATTCAGGCGAGACCAGGAAGCCTCCTCAAGGCAAACCGAGGCCCCCATCGGCACCTGCGAGGCCCAACGCATCCCTTCAAGAATAATTTCTCTCATCTTCCTTTCCTTCTTCCTCTTCCTCATCACTTTCTTTCCCTCTTCTCTTCCCTCCTTCGTCCTCACTTCTTACTTTTGTCTGAATCTCTTTCCTATGCATATTTTTCTTTTGTGCAAGCACGCACACACACATACACATACGCATAAGTGACAGATACATACACTTGTGATACTCGGTCACGTTCTTCGTGCGTACACCCGAGCTTTTCTGAAACAAATATAATCGAATAATTTGCTATTATTTACCATTATTTCGTACGTGGTTTGACTCGAATACGAGAGGAATATCATGATAGTCTTGTGACCGAAGAGTTATACGTCACAGAATTCCCTCACTCGTGTCGAGGTTATTTCGTCCATGCGGCTCGATGCGCCGCAACATGCGGGAAGAAGTAACGTCCGTGGAATTTTAATCTTTCGAACTGTGCATCGATTCGAATTAATCGATTTTATAAAAATCGAACAAAATAAAATTTGTATACCTTCTGTCTATATACATAGTGTTTATATGTGAACAAGTAATCTCGAACACTCGTCAAAATTAACATCGAGTATTGAAATTCGAATCGATAATCGAAATTCGATTCCCAATCGTATCGTCTCGTCGATAACTTTTTTCATCTCTCCTCCTTTCTCTTGTCATTGTTTACTTTTATCCATTTTCCTTTATTTTCCCCTTCCGTACGCAATCTTGTTAGCTATCGTAAGACGTACGGTTTTAAAACAAAGCTCGTTGATCGGTATCGTTTCTAGGTTAGAATTACGTCCATTGGATATTTATACTTTTGAAAAAAAAAAAAGAGAAATCTAAGGGAATGATTCGATGGACGGTGAGTCGTTCTTTCTTCTTTTCAATTTGTTTCGATTCGAGCTTGTCCCTCACATTTTCTTGATTCCAAGATCAAGCATGCTTGCGTAAGCTAGACTCGTCCGTCGTTATATTTTTAAGTAATGTGAAAAATTCGTATAATAAAAGAAACAAAAATTCGTGAAAAAAAAAGACTATGTGCTTTTCCTATCGATCCATCTTATCCTTTGATCTATCTTATCCTTTGATCCAGGTGTATTTATGTATTTGCTTGTTTCGTTATGGAAATCTATTTTTTTCGCGATTTCTAACTCTGCATGCTCGTTTTTATCGAAAATGTAACAATGTTTTGAATGTAAACACAACTTATCATTGTCATTCGATGCACTATTTATGACGTAAAGATGAAAGCTTGAATTGAGAATCGTTTAAAATGATTTAAAAACAGGTAATGAGAATACGTATCGAAATTTACGCGTAGTGACTGAAGATTTTTCTTATTCCTTTATCATATTATATTTTATTATTAAGCATATATTTTATAGGTTATATTATACATATTAAAATTTTCGGTGTTTAATTTAAACTGTTATTATTAACATGTTGATTACGATATTTTGTTATTGTTTGTTATTATTCATCTCTTTATTGAGTTATCGATTTTTTAGAAAATAAATCTCACCATTATAAATAATAAATTTTATAGCGAAGACTACTATGGAGACGTGGATCTAAAGGCTTTACGAAAATTGGGATACAAAAAAAAGTGACGAAGAGGACAAATACGCAAAGTTCAATAATTCTGATCGACACTAGGGTCGGAAGATTTTGAAATTCGTCAAAATCTATTAATTTCCTGCATCTTCCATCGAAATAAAAAAAAATTCATGTATTTCATTTTAAATCATTCGCAATATCATTCATATCTCTTGTCATATCACGTTAGATAATTGTAATATAGGTTATGATATATGTAAATAAATTACTATTATAAAACGATAAATAAATATTGTATATGTAATACCATGGTCAAAATATAAAATGTAGACCTAATATTCAATGCAATTTTTGTCGTATACCTTAGAAATACTAGAATCTGCTTATCATTTTGAATACTTTTACTGTGTTATTTTAAACAATTCGATTCAGGATAAGAATATAATGACTAAAAAATTCAAGTTAAATATATCAATATAGAATTAAAAGTAAAAAGAATAGAATATTCTATTATATAATATTCTGTATAATATTTTTTTATAAATATTTTATATAATATCTTATAATCATATATGTTGTAATCACATATTTTCAACAAAAAAAAAAGAATGTGATTATATTTTTTGCATAAAAAATTAAGATACATTTTAGTTTTAAAAGAAAATGATGAAAGTGTTCAAATATACCTTATTTATGTTCACGTGTTAAATATAAATAAAAAATAAATAAAAAAAGTAGGTAATGACAAAAGACAGAGATAAATAAAAATTATTGAAATCAGTGCCATCTTCAGAGTGCCGCAAATGAAACATATGAAGAAAGGACAGAAAATAATGAGAAAAGGATAGAAATAAAATAAGAATTGATGTTCAGTGCCATCTCTTGAATATTAAATATAACTCTTTAAAGACAAGATAAAATAGTAGATAAGAATTAAAGATCAATACCATCTCTTGAATACATTTAGAAATCATTCTTTAAAAAAGATGTTTTTAACATTCGAGAGATGATGCTGACAGTCAATTCTTTCTCTATTTCTATCTTTCTCTTGCTTTTTCTGACCTTTGTTTATGTGTTGCTTTGCAACATTTTGGAGATGGCGCTGATTTCAATATTTTTACCCTATCACTGTTCTTCTCCCACTACATACTTATAAATCATATAATTTTATTTATCAATAAATCAAATCTATACGTATATGATTATTTCAAAATATCGATTAAGTTATATTGTAAAAAAAAAGTAGTGTTTATATTATATGAATTTTAGAATGTATATTCATAGTTTTTACGAAATAAAATAATATAATTTTTTTGTCAATTTTGTTAACTAAACAAAGTATTATATTTATTATCATATAATGAAAAGGTGAGAAATTATATCTGTCAAAAATAAGAAGTCAGCCAAGGCAATTATATGAAAGAATTTTAATCTTTAAATGTTGAAAAAAATTATTAAATTCTTTTAAAAAATTAAATATATTTATAACTTATATATTCTTATTTTATACTTTAAATTAACTTTAAATTAATTCTTTACGTAAAAAGAATTATACTGATTATGTGATTATACGCGAATAAGTGTAATAATTAAATTATTGATTAAACAATGGAAACAGAGGAATATGATTTTAAAAAACAACAGTTATTACATACAAATAAAGATTGTATGCATAAAAATCAAACTCAAAATGAACATATAAATAATTTATTTAATAAACGTTTTACAATTGTAAATAATGAATGTTATACAATGCCTGAACCAACAACTATGTTTAAAGATTGTTTATGGACAGTCGATGAATTACAATTAATAAAAAATGAATTAAATGCCATAAAGAATTGTTTAAATAATTATGATCCTGATAAATGGCAATTACATACAAGAATAAGAAACAGTGCAAAAGATGTTATGACTCGATTGAAAACTTATATTCAACCAGAACTTTTAACTCAAGCATGGTGTAAATTTTATGAAATAGTATCATCGTTTCCTTTAATACCAATGAATTACATTTGTAATAATAATAAATGTTTTAAATCTGTTCATTTATGTGAAGCACCTGGAGCTTTCATCACATCTTTAAATCATTGGTTAAAAACAAATGTTCCTAATATTAAATGGGATTGGCTTGCTATGACCTTAAATCCATATTATGAAGGTAATCCGGCATCTATAATGGTTGATGATGACAGGTTCATTAGACACACATTAAATCATTGGTGTTTTGGAGAAGATAATACCGGAAATCTTATGAATTTAAAAAATTTGAATGAACTTATAAAAGTAGCACAGCCACATTGTAATATATTCTTGATTACTGCAGATGGTAGTATAGACTGTACAGATGTTCCAGCGGAACAAGAAAGTGTTTTAATACATTTACATTTTTGTGAAACCATAACTGCATTACAATTGTTAGCTACTGGAGGGAGTTTTTTATTAAAAATTTTTACTATTTTTGAATGTAATACAATATGTCTGATATATTTATTATCTTGTTGTTTTAGTAATGTGAATGTTATAAAACCAGCAACAAGTAAAGAAGGAAATTCAGAAACATATGTTGTATGTACAAACTTTAAAGGACCAACATTTATCTCACCTTATTTAGAAAAATTAAAAGAGCATTATGAATATGGTCCTAAACAAGCAATTTTTAGTAAGCATGATATTCCATATGCATTTATGGAAAAAATTATACAATGCAGTGAATTTTTTAAATCTCATCAATGTCTTGTTATAGTAAACAATATTGTTACATTTAACTCTGATGAATCTAAAATGTTACAAAATACAAAACAAATTCAGTGTATGGTAGCTGATAAATATGTTAAAGATTATAATGTAAAAAAATTAGAAACAGGAGAAATTGTAGGAAACATAATTATATTAGGAAGAACTATTAATACAAATCAATATAAAAGATCATTACAAGGATCATATAATGAACGTTGTGAAAAACAACAATTAGCACCTTTAGATAGGATAGAAAGTTTTTGTAATGATTTTAATAAAATTGAGATTCATGTATCATCTGATGAAGTTGTAAAAGTAAGCTATTTTTTTAATTCTTTTTTATTATATTATATATTCTCTTTAAATAAAATTTTTCTACAATATAAATTAAATTTTTATCTTTTATAGTACAAATTCTCTGAATTCCCAGAAGATTTGCAAATTCGTTCAGGAAAAGTGTTTCACAAAATATATAATTCCAAATTTTGTAATAAAAATGCTTTAAAGATATTAAATGGTATTGATGACATCCTTAATAAAATAAATTTGAAAATACAATTTCCTTCGATAGAGAGTATAGAGAATTTAAAAGCTAAAATTCTTTGTAAACCAAAACATGAAATTTTAATTTTTCGATATACAGATATTTATGATGGTCATGAAATAATCACAGAAATTTATGATACATTACAAAAACTCGAAATTGGAACAACATTAGTTTTAATTGGTTATTCATTGTTTACTCACCTTAGTATTGAACTTCTTTATCTTATAAGCTGTGCTTTTAATCTGTTAAAAATTACAATATGCAATCATGTAGGATTAAAAATCACATTACATCATTATAATTACAATCCTAAAATATTAAGATTCTTAAATGAAATTAAAGCTGCTTCTTTTGAAGCTCAAAAACAAGGGAAAGCTATTTTGGAAATAATTTCTCCATCACTATTTTATAAAGGTAAAAAGAATTATATATTAGTATATTTAATTATAATTTTTCAATATTATATTTTCAATATTGACATTATTTCCTTTTTTAGGGTGTTATTTATGCTATTCAGCAGACCTTAATCATTGGGTCATAAAAACATACATTCATTATGTATTACATATGATGAAACAAAGTATAAATTAAAAGATGATCCAAAATAAACCAAAGTTGTACCAAATTTTTATATATATAATAAAATATAATATAATAAAATATAAATGCATATTTGTCAATGGTGTGTGCTTTTTTCCCATATTCATAATGCATTTATAAATATTTATAAATATAAAATATATAATAAAATTAAATATAAATTTCAATTTTATTATTTATAAATTTATTATATAGAGAAAAAAAATCAAATTCAAAATGAAAATTCTTGGCTGTCTTCTTTAAAAGAATATTATAATCTTAATATATTCGTGAATCATATATGATTTTAATTTACAATATATTCTTTTAGATTAATACAAATCTCTACTATGAAATTTAATAAAATGTACAAATATGTTCGTTTATTTTCAACTGAACATATTGTACCAAGAGTATGTATTATTGGTGCAGGACCAGCAGGATTTTATACTGCGCAACAATTATTAAAGGTAAGTGCAGTATAAATTATACAGATTAATATTGTAACAAAACAATTTTACAGACAATTAATAATGTAAGAGTGGATTTATTGGAAAAATTACCAGTACCGTATGGTTTAGTACGTTTTGGTGTAGCTCCAGATCATCCAGAAGTGAAGAATGTTATTCATACATTTGAAAAAACTGCATCTAATCCACGTTTTCGGTTTATAGGGAATGTTAATATAGGAAAAGATGTTACTATAAAGGAATTGCAAGAAATTTATCATGTAGTTTTATTAGTATGTATAATAAATTTATTCAATCATATTTTTCTTTACTTTATAATATATTTTACTAATATATAATAATTTTATATTTAATATTAATAAATGTTTAGGCATATGGTGCAGAAGAAGATAAAACATTAAATATACCTGGAGAAAATTTAAATAATATAATATCAGGAAAACGATTTGTCGGTTGGTATAATGGAGTACCTGCAGATAGTAATTTGAATATTAATTTAGATGTAGAAGAAGCCGTTGTATTAGGACAAGGTAATGTTGCTATAGATATTGCAAGAATTTTATTAACACCAGTTGATAAGTTAAAGGTATGTTCTAAATTAAATTTTTTTAAAAAATTTAATATATTTAAATATATTATAATTTAAAGTATATTATGCAATATACTTTTAACTTATTTATAACTTTATTTTTTTAGAATACTGATATAACATCACATTCTTTAGAAAAATTATCAAAGAGTAAAATACGTAAAGTATCATTAATAGGAAGAAGGGGGCCACTACAAGCAGCATTTACAATTGCTGAATTACGAGAAATATTAAAATTAAATAATTGTGAGACTTATTGGCGTAAAGATGATTTTATAAATATAAAACAAGTAGTTAATACTTTAACAAGACCACGAAAAAGATTAACTGAACTTATGTTAGAATATTTAGAAAAAACACCTTCAGATACAAAAACAAAAGAATTATATCTATTATTTTTAAGAAGTCCTGTGAAATTTTTAGGTTCTAATGACATAAATGGTATTAAATTATCAATAAATAAACTTGAAGGTAATGATATATCTACACAACTTGCTATACCTACTGGATTATTTGAAGAAATTGAATGTGGTCTAGCATTTCGCAGTATTGGTTATAAATCTGTTCCAATAGATGTATCAATACCATTTGATAAAAAGATTGGTCGCATTAAAAATACAGCTGGAAAAGTCCAAGAAAATCTTTATGCTGCAGGTTGGGTTGCAACAGGTCCAGTAGGAGTTATATTATCAACAATGACAAATGCATTTCAAGTTGGTACATTAATAAATAAAGAATTATCAATTACAGAAAACAAGCCAGGTTTTGCAGGTTTGTCGAAAATACTTGATCATAAAGGAGTACCTACAGTATCATATAATGATTGGAAAAAAATTGATAAAATTGAATGTGAAAGAGGAAAAATATTAGGAAAACCAAGAGAAAAAATAATTGATATTAATGAAATGCTAAAAATTGCTTTAAAATGATATAAGTATAAAAAATAAATAAATATATATATAAATAAATGAAAAAAAATAAACTTTTTTCATTTTTCAATAATTCATAAATAATTATTAATGAAATGATTTTAAATTATAAAAAATTTATATCTAATTTAATATTCTTCAATATATCTATCTCCTAATTTATTCATTTTAATTATAAACAATATATTATAATTATATTATTTATATTATAAATATATTTTTGACAAAAATATTTAAAATAAATAAATTTTTATTATTTTAAATAAAATCTTATTTTTCTAAATTTACAAATAATTAGAAAATTTAATTAATTAATTAATTTACTAATTAATGCATTTAACAATTACGTCTTTAATAGTATTAAAAATTCTATAATATGCTATAATTATTTATTAAAATTTTCTTTTTTATTCAATTTTATAAATTATAGTTTTATAAGATTTCCAATACAAAATTTATAAAAAATGATAGATATTTTTATAAAATGAAAAAAAATGAAAAATTTCTAAATCTAGTCACTTTAACCTCTCGATGTTACTTATACACGTTGATCTTTGTCAGTTTTTATAGTTTTGTATTTCTAGTTTTATAAACAGTAAAAAAGATTTTATATTATATTAAACATAAAAAAAAATTAATTATTCTATGCTGTATTTGTTTTATATATTAAAAATATCAATTATCAATTTAAAAATAAAAAATTGTTGTATTTAAAGATATCTATTTATATCAACTATTTATTAGAATATTAAATAATATATATATAAAATAATACCTGTGTTTATACTAATAATTATTTATATTATTTTTTTTATTTTTTTTTCATAAAAAAATAAGTTAACTTAATGAGTTCTAAATAAATTTTAAAAAACTTGATATAAATTTTAAACTATATATTATGATTAATTAAGTTTAATATTATTAAATATAAATATAAAATGAATTTACGAGAACCAAAGAAAAAACGTCGTGTAAAATTAAAAGAACAATTGCCATTTCCACTTATATTATCAGGTGATGAAAATGAGTGGACAACTTATACTGCTCATCTTACAGATTTAGGATCATGTATAATAGATCCAAAAGAAATTGTTGCAGTACATTCTATGGTAATTATGATTTAAATATTTATTTATATAATTAAAATTTTCACTTCACTTATATTTAAACATATTCATTTAGGGTTTTTTTGGAAAAGGATCTTTATCACGTAGTTTTCCTTCATTTGGTAAAACACGATATGGAGCACCTCCAGTTGTAAGAAATAGACAATGGCTTCGTAGACAAGAATGGTTAAAACAATTTAATGAACTTAGCATGGAAGCTAATAATAGAAATATAAATTTAGAAGAAAACAAATGTGAATTTTCTCATTCTAAAAATATTAATCAAGATGATGATGAATTTTTAGATAGTCAAGAAAGTACACCAGATATAATTGAAATAGATACAAATTCTGCTTCTTTAGATGAAAAATATAAAAAAAATCAACAAATTAATAAAACTAATAAAAAGATAGAAGGAAATCATATAAATTTAAATTCCATAAAAAGAGATGATACATTAATTATTAAAGAAAATAAACAATACATTGATAATAACAAAAAAAAATCTATTGAAAATGAAAAAAAAGAATATTTTACAGATTTTAATTTAAAAGAAGATGATTTACATTTTACTGATAATACGGATATTGAAAACAAGTTACTTGTCTTACCAGATAGTGATACAGAAATTGAAAATTACTTAAAAGAAATAAAACCTAAAATTGAATCTGAAAGTTTTCCAATTCAAGAAACACTCCATCTTACATTTGAGGAAACATTTTTTCTTTTGTATGGTTTAGGTTGTTTGAATTTAATAGATTTTGATGGTAATTTGTTAGATATTGATAGTGCTTGGCATTTTTTCTGTAAAACTGATAAAAATTTTATCCCAAAATACGTTGTATATCATTATTTTCGAAGCAAAGGATGGATAGTAAAACCTGGTCTTAAATATGGTGGAGATTTTTGTTAGTATTATTTTTTTTTTTCTTATTAGTAATAATAAAACTTGAATAATTTTTTAAATAGATGTCAAAGATTTTTTTTTTTAATATTTTAGTATTATATAAACAAGGACCACCATTTTATCATGCATCTTACATTGTAATAATAGATATTTTAGATGGTGATGCATTAATCACAGATCAAAATAAATGTATGAGAAAATTAACATGGAATAGTTTATTAGGATTAGAAAGATTGTCAGAAACTGCTGCCAAGGTAATTTTTTAAATAATTTCTTTATTATAAAATATTTTTTTATAACATAAAAATATTTTGAATTGTAAAAATATTTTGAACTAAAAAAATATATATATTTATATAGGAAATATTATTTGCACAAGTTTTATGGCCATCTTCAATTTTACATACATCTAATCTAAATGTGGATATACTTTCTGAATTTTCTGTAAGAGAGTTATTATGGAGAAGATGGAATCCTAAACATAATAAAGATGTAGAAGAGGAAGATGATGATTCATGTTAATTTTGTATTTAACATATTTATCATAATTGTAAATAAATATACATAAGTTTAAAATTCTTTTTTTTTTTTTTTTTTTACATAATTGTAATATTTTAATAGCATCTTAGTAGCTTCATTTTATTTACAATAAACAATTAAATATACTAAATAAAAAATAACAATACTAATATAAATTTAATATATTCATTATATAATTTAATTTGAAGATCCAAATCTTCCTAATTTTGATTTTTTAGGAATACCAGTTCTTCTGTATTCACTTCTTTCTGTTAAATATTCTTGTGTACATTCTTCTTTGAATTTTGGATCATTATACCATTTTGATAAACAGTTTATTAATGCACTATTTTCTTTTTTACATTTAAATGGCATAAGATAACTAGCATTTTTACAACATAGATTGAACTCTATAAATAAAATACTTAAATATTGATCATTAAAATATATATAATAATAAAAGAATTACCATAAACCTCTTGAATGCATTTTTCTTCTTTTGCTTTATCTCGCATTTTTTGTGGTATGAGAACATCTTTCTCTACTTTTCTTAAATATTTATCTTCTGGATCTCCTATACAAATATTTATTGTATCATATTTATACTATATATTTATCAATATCGACTTTTTGTATTTTTCTATATGATATTTTATTTTTGAATTAAGTAATTTATAAAAATTATTTTATTTAATTATTTAAATTAATATAATTTAATTTTTATAAAATTTTTATGAAATTTTATATTTTGATAAAAATAGAAAGATAAAATAACCTTATTTATATATGCGATATTATAATTAAAAGTTATATATATATTTCTTTTATTATAAATTGTTAATGCAAAATATAAAATTTACCCAAATTATGCGGTCCACCTCCATATTTTGGACGATCAGAATTTTTAACTTCTTTCATTACTATTAAATTATGATAACGCTACTAAAAATTCTGTAACTGCTAGTCGCTACAACAGGCTGCGCTCATGAGTGTGCAGATTTGAGAATTGTCAATGCATTAGCTTACAAAAGATATGTTTGTTTAATGCTACGGATGACTAATAAATCGTAGTATTTACAATCAGTGATATAATTTAATAGGTAAGTAAATAAATATAATATTTTATATGATTTAAAAAAATATAATTTTTTCTGAATATATCATTAACAAAGTTAACCTCATTAATAATTGAACTAAACATAAATATAAATAATTAAGTAATTATTACATTTTATATTTTGATTTCCGAATTAATTATTGTACAATATTTCTAGAATTATTAAAAGAAATAAAAAATAAATAGTGATGGATCGATTATTGAGATTAGGAGGCGCTATGCCAGGTCTTAGTCAAGGACCTCCACCTTCAGATGCTCCAGTTGTTGACACTGCAGAGCAGGTATGATCTTTTTTTGATCGCAATTTTTTATTTATTTGTCTCAAATAAATATTGTCATATTATTTTATTCTATATTTATCTTATATTTTACGTTTTTAAAAAAATAGTTACAATGTATGAAAGTTTTAAATCTAATATCTTATAATTTGTTTTTTTTATTATACTTTCTTTTTATAGCTCACATTTTTTAATAATTAACAGATATATATATTATATGAAACTATAACTAAAGAGTTTATAATATGTTAATATTAAAATAATAAATTATTGATTATAAAAATGTTAAATTAGATTCATATTAATATAAATTACTATATATTTATTAACAAAGTACTTTTATTAGGTATACATATCGTCATTAGCTCTTTTAAAAATGCTTAAACATGGACGTGCTGGTGTACCTATGGAAGTAATGGGTTTAATGCTTGGTGAATTTGTTGATGATTATACTGTACGTGTAATTGATGTATTTGCTATGCCTCAAACAGGAACGGTAAAAATTGAAATTTTATTTTTCTCTTTATTTTTTTATTTGTTATGTAAAATAATTATTTAATATATGTTTTTAATATTCAATTAATATTCAATAATTATTTAATATATGTTTTTAATATTCAATTTAATAATATTATTTTATTTTTTTCAGGGAGTCAGTGTAGAAGCAGTTGATCCAGTATTTCAAGCAAAAATGTTAGATATGCTTAAGCAAACTGGTCGGCCAGAAATGGTAGTAGGATGGTATCATTCTCATCCAGGATTTGGTTGTTGGCTCTCTGGTGTAGATATTAATACACAACAATCATTTGAAGCTCTTAGTGAAAGAGCAGTGGCTGTTGTTATTGATCCTATACAATCAGTAAAAGGAAAAGTTGTTATTGATGCATTTAGATTAATTACTCCTAATACCATGGTATGTAACAAATTAAAATAAAAATTTTCTTTCAATGTATACACATTTATTATTAATACTTATATAAAATTATAGGTTTTAGGACAAGAACCTCGTCAAACTACATCCAATTTAGGTCATTTACAAAAGCCATCTGTTCAAGCATTGATTCATGGTTTAAATCGTCATTATTATAGCATTAGTATTAACTATCGTAAAAATGAATTAGAACAAAAAATGCTATTAAATTTACACAAAAAAACGTGGATGGATGGTCTTACACTTGCTGAATATTCAGAACATAGCAAACTTAATGAAAATATTGTATCTGAAATGCTTGAACTTGCCAAAAATTATAACAAGGTATGACATTAAAATATAATATTGTATATATTTTAATGTAAAAGTTTTTTTATTAAACATATTAACTTGAGAATTCATATTTGTAGGCATTAGAAGACGAAGAAAAAATGACACCTGAACAATTAGCTATAAAAAATGTGGGTAAACAAGATCCAAAACGACATTTAGAAGAAAAAGTGGATACACTTATGTCTACCAACATTGTTCAATGTCTGGGAGCTATGCTTGATTCAGTTGTATTCAAATAACTATTTCTTAAAATACTATTTGCAATATATTAAAAAAAAATATACATCTTTTTAAAATATACGTGTTTATAATTTACACTCAAAAAGTATATATAACATATAAAAATTTTTGTACTACTTATTTTTATATTAAAAATGCAAATAATGGACAAGTAGATTTTCACATTTTTATTCAAAATGTATTTATGAATATATGATAGCCACATTTTCAGACATAATATATAATTTATTATTATATTATACATAAAACATATATATATATAACATATATAAACATATATATATATATGTTTTAAAATATATGAATGCCTGAAGAAAAAAATAAAACAACAGATGACAATATTTTTCATGATACAAAAATGTTAACCCTGTGCAGTACTGCATAGTATTAAATGCATAATTTAAAAAATATTATTACAATAAAAGAATCCTAATGAAAATTTATTATACTATATCAGTACTTTGCAAATGGGATTCATTATTTATATACATTTATTGATACTAAATATTGTATCAATATATTTTCATTATTTGTAAAATTTATAATACTTGGCTAATAATTCTTATTCAATTACTAATAAAAGATAGTATTATAGCATTATTGAATTTTTTAATATAATTTAAATGACCACTATAAATATAACTGATTTGAATTATGATTTGTACAAGTTTATAGAACATATAAAATATTTCTTCTTCAATTTTATATAATGTTCCATAATATATGTATATTGCAGAATATGGATATTTTTTTACAGCTTTCAAAGATTGCAGAATATGTATACATTTTTAAAGAATTATCTTTGAATAAGAGATTGCATTTACTTTCATAAAGTAGTGTAGCATTTTTCTTATTCTTAAAAAATTGAAATAGTTATATTTTAATAATATATATTTAAGAAATTATTTCAACTTGCAAGTGGTTCTTCTTGATGTTGATCTTTATCTTTCTTCTTTTTCTTTTTCTTTTTTTCTTCTTTTATCGGCGATTCCTATTAATCATAATAATAAAATATTTTATTTTTATAAATATTAAATATGAAAATTAAATATAAATCATTTTACCTCAGTTGCAGCTTCCACTGCCATAGATTCATCAGCTTCAGATTCTGTCCTTTCTTTCTTTTTCTTTTTTTTCTTTTCTTTTTTATCTTTCTTCTTCTCTTTTGGTGATGTTAATTCTGATTCATCAATTTTTTCTTCTTTTATTGAAACCTCTGTTGTAGATTGTGAAACTAATTCTTCCCATTTTCGTTTCTTAGATACAGGATCAGTAACTCCATTTTCTTCAGTCTAATTAATATATAAAACTTAAGTAAATTAATTTTAATAACTAAACATACATAAAAAAAATGGAAAAGAAACAAAATTTAAATACCTTAATTGCAGATACGGAATAGTCTGTATAATTTGCCAACCAATCAGCAGGTGTATTTTCGTTTGGTTTCCCATATTTATCTAATTTTCCTTCAATTATCATACGCTTTTTTATGGAAGCTTTGGGTCCCAAACCCCATTTTCTTGGATATGCATCTCTTTCCATTATTACTCTTTTAATTTTAGCAGCTACACCATGATCACAAGTTGTCATTGTAGGAGATGTCATAAGTGCTATAGCTATAACAAAAAAAAACTGCGAATAGAATCTTAAAATATTTATTTAAACGTGAAAATTAAGTGATAAAAATAATAAAAATTCTATTATTAATTGAATTAGGATTATAAATAATATATAATTTTTTTTATATTTATACTTACCAAGTGCTATAGCTTCACCTTTTGTAGTCACTATTACAATTTCTTGATTCAATTCAATACCATCATCATACATTAAAATTCCTGGTAACATAATTTTAGCTCCATAACAAATAGCATTTACCTATATTAATATAATTATGTAATATTAATAATTACAAAGAAATATATTTTCTTTTCTTCATAAAAAATATATTTATAGATAATATATTAATACATACTGCACTATCTTTTACAATAATTCTTTTATGATTTATCAAAAGTGCTTCTAATGGTTTAATTACTCTTCTCAAATAAGATTCATCTCCATGGTTTTCATATAACCATTGAGCATCAAGTATATCATGCATAGTAACCATTCCATCATTTTCAGATTGAACACCTGAACGATTTCTACGTAATTCTTGCATCTGACAACCAGTGCCTAAGAAGAGGCCGAGATGAACACAAATAGTTCTAATATATGAACCAGCCTCACAACTAACTCTAAACACTCCCATATTACGTTCTTCATCATAGTCAAGGAACCAACTGTCATAAACTGTTCTCACACGAAGCTGACGCTTCACTGCAGAGATAAGTGGTGGTCGTTGAAAGAGTGCACCACGTAATTTTTCTAATGCTTGACTTACCTATATTAATTTTTTTATTAATAATATTAACTTCTTAATGATAAATATAACATTTTAATTTTAACATAAATATATTTACCTTTTGTAAACTTTCTGGAGCAGAATGTAATTTAAAAACTGCAATATATTCTTTTCCAGCAGATTGTTGTGATTTAGCTAATCTTGTTGCTCTATCAATGCATACTATTAAGCATCCAGATACTTTAGGATCTAAAGTACCAGAATGACCAGTTTTCTCTACTTTCAAAATTCTTTTTATCCATGCAACAACTTCATGTGATGAGGGATTACATGGTTTGTCTAGATTAATGCAACCAGACTTTATATATTCAGATAAAGTACGGTGTAAAGGAGTTGATCCACTAGTTAAAGGTGTAAAATGTTTTGTACGAGTAAGCATTTTGTCAAAATTCTAAAAAAAAATATATTATATTTAATTTTATTTACATAAAAAAATTAATTAAATTATAAAATAGACTAATATATTTTATATCGCATACTTTAAATAAAAGAGGCCAATCCTTGTATTCAAGTTTTACAATTTCATCTGAAGGTTCAAGTTGACATTTCATTGTTGCTTGAATCTCTCCAAGAGATTTCTTTTTGCTTTTTTTTTTACTTTTATCTAAATAATAAAAATATAAATTAACCTATGAAATTATGTTTATTATAAGTATCAACAAATCAAGATTATTCTAAGCATAACAATTACACGTATAAATGAAATAATTTTATATAAAATAAATATA